TGCATGTATTGAACCATCCCTGCATCCCTGGGATGAATCCCACTTGATCAGGGTGTATGATCTTCTTGATGATCTTCTGCATTCTGTTTGCCAGTATCTATAAGACTTTTTTTTTTTAACCTACTGGGCTTTCCTCCACTTCCTCTGCTCTAGCTTCTTTTCCTGCAGTCTAGCCCACCTCCTGTCTGAGCTTTTTATTTTTACCACTAAGTAGGTTGAAAAGATAAGATAGAATAGGGGACAGCTTTATCCTCAGTAGTACACTGAGTGTTCCTGAAGGCTGCTGACAAAAATGATAACAATGATAATAATAATGATGATGACAGTATTAATAATTACTGTGTAGAATTTATTAGATACCAGTTAATGTTAAGCATTTTTCAGTATTATTATATTTAATGTTCACTACAACCATTTAAGATTTGTTATAATTTTCTCCATTTTATAGAGATAGAAATTAATTTTAATTCTTCTGTTTTTAAGTGAGTGAAGTAACATGGTGCACTATTGGGAATGCTGGAATTGGAGTCAGGAGGGTTGCTTTTTATTTCCAGTTTGGCTGTCACCCACTTATTGTGTGCTTTTAATTATGTTCTTAATCTGAATTGCAGTACTATTAACCACTGTGCATTTCTTGGGTAATGGAAAGTTGGAGAATAATAGCCAACATCCTAGAGAAGTATTTTCTCATCTATTTGGAGCCTGTGAACATCGTGTTTGTTAGTTTGGAATATGACACATACCTCAGAAGAATCAGAGTGATGGAAAGAATAAGCCTTAGAGATTCATTAGTTCAACACCCTCGTCTTTATTTTTCATATATATATTTATTAGTGCATATTTATTTTATAAAATATTGGGTTCCACTGTGGTAATTTTATACATGAATATACCCATCCCTTCATTGCCCTTCCTTCCAACCTGTCTCTATTATCCCCCTGATCCTTTCCTCTTGTCTTGCTTCTAGTTTCATGTCATGTTTTTGAGATTCCACATATTAGGGGAAACATGCTACACTTAGCTTTCTGAGTGTGGCTTATTTTACTTAACATGATTATCTCTAGTTCCATCCATTTTCCTGCAAATGGCATGATTTTGTTCTTCTTTATGAGTGAATAATGCACCTTTGTGTATATATACCACACTTTATCTTGTTATCCATTGACAGGTACCTAGGCACATTCTATTTCTTGGTTATTGTGAATGCTGCCACAATAAACATGGGTATGCATGAGTGTCTCTGTAGCCTGCTGACTTTAACTCCTTCAGGTATATATATATCAAGGGTATAACTAGATCATATATGTTGATTCTATTTTTAGTTTTCTGAGGAACATCCATACTTATTGCCATAGTGGTTATACTAACTTAAACCCCCACAACAGTGTATAAGAGGTTCTTTCCTTATCACATCCTTGACAACATTTATTGTTTTTTATATTCTTGATAGCCATTCTGACTGGGATGAGATGTCATTTTGATGTAGTTTTGATTTGCATTACCCTGATGTCTAAAGATGTTGACTTTTTTCATATACTTTTTGGCCATTTGTATTTATTCTTTTGAGAAGTGTCTGTTCAGGTGCTCATTTTTTGGTTGGATTATTTAATTTTTGTGTGTGTGTTTTGAGTTCTTTATATATTCTGAATATTAATTAATATTAATATTAATGAATATTACTAATGAATAGTACAAGAGTACCTGATAAAATTTTTTTCCATTCTGTAAGTTGTCTCTTCCCATTTCCTATATTGTGCAGAAATGTCTTATGCAATCCCATTTTTCTATTCCTGCTATTATTTCCAGAACTACTGGTATTACTTCCAGAGCTACTGTTATTATTTCCAGAGCTACTTCCAGGAAGCCACTGCCTGTGTGTATGGCTTCAAGTATTTCTCCTGGCAGTTTCAAAGTTTCAGGTGTTATATTTAGGTCTTTGATCCATTTTGAGCTGATTTTTGTATATTTTTCACTCATTTGCAGATAAATAACTACTTTGTTAAAGAAGCTATTGTTTCCCACTGTATTTATTTTTGGCCCCTTTGTCAAGAATCAGATGGCTGTAGCTTCATGAACTTATTTCTGTGCTCTCTACTCTATTCCATTGATTTTTGTCTGTTTTTTATGCCAGTAGAATGCTGGTTTTGTTACTATGGTTCTATAGTATATTTTGAAGTCAGGTATTGTGATTTCTCCAGCATTTGTCTTTATACTTAAGATTGCTTTGGTTACAGTGTTCTGGTTCTTTTATGTTTCCATATAAATTTTATGATTTGAAAAAATCCCCTCGTCTTGTAGATGAAATGGCTATGCAATTAATGAATAGCCAAGCTACAAATAAATGGCCTCTAGTTGTTCCAGTGCTCTTTCCATTGCACCATATTGTCCTTCTCTTGAAAAAATAAATCAATGGGTTAAAACAGTTTTTATTTTGATTGTTTTGAAAGGTACATTTGATGGTCCCCTTTGCCATATTTTGCCCGAAGCATTCCAGGAGGGAAACAATTGCAGAGATGAAGGCTCCTATTACTTTGAGAGCCTAGAAATGGACATGATAACTCAAAATCCTCAAAACAGTTGTTGGTGTTCATTTATCTGAAGTTTGGTCTCTGAATTTACTAAGAGGTACTACCCTCAGCACCACCCCCACTCCCAGTTAGAGCTCAATACTCTATATTGAGACCAAAGAAAACTTACAAGTATATAAAGTGGTTGAACACCACTTCCCCAAATTGTACCACTGCAGGTTCTTCACTTTTGCCTAAGGAAAGCATGGGAAGTGGAGCATAGAAAAATGAGAGAAATAGGACCCCTATGGCATTTGGCTAGAGAAACAGAAAAGACACAAAAACATTCAAACTGTAGCCAAAACTAGAAACTTAAATAGAGCTTTTCAAAGCAATTTCTTTCTATACAACCTGATTTTGAGCCCACAGCATAGTGGCCCAGTGTCTTGGTTTATTCCCAGACTGGGCCTCAAAGAGAGTGAATCCTTGATAACGGCTTGGAAATCTACCCCTCTTCAAGGAAGTGAACTTATTTTAGAATCAGCAAGCTGGCTGGGTTCCTTTCTAGAATCAGGAGTTCATACAGTTCTAGAATTGAGAGGGTTTATCTATTCAGGTCTGGTGCAATAGACAAGTATTTTGACTCCTTTCTAGGACTGAGCACAAAGATACGGAGAACAAATCACCCATGGAGACCATTGCAGAAGAAGGTGAAGGGAACAGACATGGGAAATATAAGTTGAAAGACCACTCAGATAAAGAAGCCGTCAGAGGTAAGCCAATGGTTTCAGGGTATAATCCGTCATTCTTTACTGCTCATGTGCCCAGCCATACTTCTTAGCAACTCATATGCCCAAAGTAAATAAAGTTAGACTCATGAATAATCACTCTATTCTCTTTTGTGGCAATCATCTTCTATTTATGAGATCCTATATCTCACCTTAACCACTTTATGAGTCTTAGATCCTGTGACTCTCAGGCTTTTCGACTGTACATTATCTTTACTGGCTCTCTCCTGCTTAAAGGAGTCAAAACTCAGATGCCTACAGGGTACAGATCTATAAAGTGGATATATACAAGATCTTAGGGAACTGTGTTAGCTTAAATAACATTTTTTATGGAAAATGAAGTGTGACAGTTTTATGTCTTTGATATCTATAGAAGATAGCTGGAATCTCCTGTCTGCATCTACATTTAATCTTATATAATGAGTGGTTTTGGCTGGAGCATATGAAGAAAATCTGAGAACTCTGAAGACATTTTGGAAGGGTCCAGGGGATGCTCAGAGGTTGCCAGACCATGCTTTGAAGGCTGTTGCTCTAGTAGTGGAAATGTGGTCCAAGTGGTATAAAATCGAATTTTTTAAGAAATGCAGAGATCCTGACTTTGATGTGAAACTGATGGGTTGTTAAAAGTTGAAACAAAAAAAATTGTGACCCCCTCCACCCACCAAAAAACTCATTTTGATGGGTTAGTGTTGGCATGTAGATGTCAGTTTTTGATATGCGACCTGCAGGATCACATGTAAATTTTTAGTTTAAATTTATGAAGTTTCATTTCTCTAGTCACTGTTTCCTGGTCAGACTCCTTCTTTGAACAGAATTTATGTTCTAGCATGGCTTGCTCTTCCTCACCTGCTCATCTTCATCCTTTTGTTTACTCTTTTTCTCCAGTCTGAACTTCTCCTTCCTTTTCTTTTAGTCTGTCTCAGTTCTCACTTTTTAACAACCTTTCTACATTTGACTTCCTCCATGAAAGTTTCTTTTATCACTGGATACTGAAGTGACTTCTCTTTTTTTCTGAGCACATCAAATCCTTAAAGAATGTGCTGCTGTTTTGGGATTTAGATTTGTGACATCACTGCCCTAAGACACTATTTATACAATATACTTAAAGCATTTGGCTTTGTTGGGATATATAAAGGCCACAAGTGGGAGCTCTCATATATTTTTATGTCTTTTTTTTCTCCACATCTATTAAAATATATTTAAGGGGAAGTACTTGCCTCTTTGTTTCCTCTCAATACCCACCACAGTGCACTTTGGACATATGCAGCAAAATAATTTTTTAAAAATTCCACAAGACAAGGGACAACTATTTAAAGATAAGACAGGGTATCATATGTGAAAATTTACCTTGGTAAGAATTATCAGTTTATCTGTGTTAAGTACAAACTATGCATTTAATGTGTTGAAAGTTAAAAGTCACCTCCATTTACTTTTCATTCTACAGAAATCTCATCACCGAAGAGATTACAAGATAGACAAACCATCTCCCCTGCCAAAGTGACAAATGTCAGCTTGTTGGACAAAGTTGAACAAAGTGGAAATAGTGGGAAGAATATGATCCCTGAGAGGTAATGCACTAATTTTTTTCTGTTGCACTTCGCTAACTTTAATTTTGAGATACTTATTGATGCAGAGAATTTTAGTAATTGTTCATTTGTTCCTTTATCCAGTATTATTGAGAGCATTCTATATGCTAGGTGATAGGGATAAGAGAAATAAGTAAGGCTTACAATGTAGTGGAAAAACTAGACAAGTGAAAAATAATATATTATGGCTTAGTGGGATAATGTTATGACAGAAGCAGAAACAAAATACCACAGAAGAGAAAATATCCAACTTTATCTGTAGATTTGGTGAACCACTTCTCAACTCTGCAGAACTATTGTTTTCTGAGTGCTTAGATATCATGATGTCACATGGTTTCATACTTATATCAAGTGGAAAATAAATTTACCAAATGTTTGGCACTCTATTCTTGATAAAAATTCTTTGAATTAATGAATTTATTACAATTTATCATAGCTTTGTCTTCTTCCGTGATGCTATGTGAAGAAATTTCTATTTTGTCCTCCTTTATTTGAGCAGGGTACTTTTAAGGTAAATTCTACTTCAAGTATTTACTGAGCACGTATGTAACTTGCATTGTGCTGTCAATTTTCAATGTATCAATGTATCATAAAATAGCTATCATACATAAAATTTATGTACTTTGTGAGTTACTGAAATCACATTCAAAACCCCAGGTATGCTTTTTATTCTGATTTTGTGATAATCTTGCTTTTAAAGAAAATGCTAGAATGAAATGTCTAGTATTTTGAAATTTAGTTCAATTCAGTAAACACTGGGCACATTATGTGCCGGATCCTATTCTAGGCACTGAACATACAGAGCAAAAGACGTGTGAACCTTCTTTCATAAAACTTAGAGTCTTGTAGGAAGACTGACATAAAAGAAATAAGAAGTGTGATACAGACCACAGAGCAAAGTACTGAGGTTTCCAAAAGGAGGAGTTGTGAGAGTTTCCTGTACAGGTGACCAAAAATGTTGGTTTTTCATAGATGGCTTCTATCAGTTTGAGGTAGAGACCATCTATTCCAATTTTTTATAGGGTTTTTATCATAAATGCATGTTGGATTTTGTCAAATGCTTTTTCTGCATCTATGGAGATAATCATATGGTTTTTGTCCTTGGCTCT